GAAAGACTTGTGCCTAAATAATAAAATTGAGCAGCTATGGCGGTTGAATGGTTTTTGCAAAAAACTATTGAAGAAAAACTTGTTTGGGGAACTACTTTGCCTGTGTTGATATATATTTCTGTGAAATTTAGAACAATTAAGCAGCTCCATCATGAGGTCAGTTGATTCTAATTTGATCCCTCAAACCCTCAGTTTGATGTTAGAATACTTAATAAATATCTCTTTAACATAAAACTTCAGTAGACACTCCATCATCAATCACCCAAATAACTACAACAGCTGATCACTCCAATCTCCAGTAATATTACCAGTTTGCATGGTTCGGGAATATACAGATCTCAGGAACTTAGGTTTTTTCATTTATGAAGTGCTGTCCTTCATTAAAAAGACAAAGATTTCCAAAGCAAAAATATTCTATTACCAAGTTTTGTTGATTTTATCTTCTATCAGTAAACCTGCTGATTTCTCTCCCTTTTTATCTCTGACAGTTCTAATCCAAACTTCTATCATCTTCCACCTGGAGTTTTGCAGTAGCCTCCTAATTGGTTTCCAAGCATCCATCCTTATTTTTCCTATATTTTACTACGCAGTTACAGAGATATTTTCAAAAAGCAAATATGATCATGCCACTTCCTATTTACAGAGTTTTCACTGTCTCCCATTGCTCTTTGAGGAAAGACCGCAAACTGTAACATGGGCAATGGTCCCTACACAGTCTGGGCATCTCTTTTCCACCTCAATTGCTAGCAAGTGTTGTCAGGCACCATGATCTCCCACACTCTCTGTGCTAAGCTCCGGTACTTTTTTAATTCTTGAAATGCATGACAACAAAAGCATAAAAGGGAAGAGGGTAAAGGTCTGAACCAACACAAGGGAATGGAAAAAGGAAGCATGCTAAAGAAAATGGAATACCCTAAATAAGAAACTTTCTTTTACGTAAACTTAATGATACCACACACACAAAAAAATCCAGAACTGAAATATATAACTTAAAAAAAGAAGAAACAGAGGGAAAATCATAGAATACCACCACACTGAAATAATAGACAGCAACAAAAAGGCAAAGAAACAATGGAGACACAGTCCTACCAGAAAACCAAAGATAGAATTATAGGAAATCCTCATATGTCGATAATCACCCTAAATGTAAATGGACAGAACTTACCAATGCAAAGCCACAGAGTAGCATATTGGATCAAAAAACTAAACCTGACCATATGCTGTCTCCAAGAGACACGTCTCAGCTACAAGAACAAATATAGACTCAAGGTGAAAGGGTGGGAATTGATACTCCAAGCAAATGGTATTCAGAGAAAAACAGGTGTAGCTGTACTGATATTAGATGAAACAGACTTCAGAATAAAAAAGGTAACAAGAGACAAAGATGGATATTTCATAATGATAAAGGGGACTATACAACAAGAAGACATAAAGTCATCAATATTTATTAGGGAGCACCGAAATACACAAAGCAACTACTAACAGAGCTAACGGGAGAAATTGACCAAAACACAGTTATAGTAGGGGACCTAAATACATCATTGACAGCTATGGATAGGTCATCCAAATAGAAAAGAAAGAAAGAAATATCAGCCCTAAATGACACAGAAGACGAAATGGACATAATTGACATTTACAGAGCACTTCATCCTAGAACATCAGACTATACATACTGTTCTAGTGTACATGGAACATTCTCAAGGATAGACCATATATTGGGATATAAAACTGGCCTCAGCAAATTTAAGAAGGTTGAAATCATACTAAGCATATTCTCTGATTGCAAGGCTTTGAAATTGAATATCAGCTGCAAAAAGAAAGCAGAAAAAAACACAGATATGTGGAGATTAAACAACATACTTTTAAAGAACAACTGGGTCAAAGAAGAAATAAGAGGAGAGATCAAAAGACAGATAGAAAAAATGAGAATGAAAATACATCCTACCAAAATTTTTGGGATGCAGCAAAAACAGTTTTAAGAGGGAAATTTATATCATTACAGGCCTATCTCAAGAAACAAGAAAAATCTCAGATAAATAACCTCATGTTACACCTTAAAGAACTAGAAAAAAAAGAACAAATGAAACTCAAAGTCAGCAGAAGGAAGGAAATAATAAAAAATCATAGCAGAACTAAATGAAATAGAGAACAAAAAGACAATAGAAAACATTAATGTAAAAAAGAGCTGGTTCTTTGAAAAGATTAATAAAATTGACAAACCATTGGCTAGACTCACTAAGCTAAAAAAAGAAAAGACACAAATAAACAAAATCAGAAATGAATGAGGGGAAGTTACCACGGATGCCACGGAAATGCAAAGGATTATCCAAGAATACAATGAACGGCTATATGCCACCAAATTCAATAACCTAGAAGAAATGGACAAGTTCTTAGAAACATATAGCCTTCCTAGGCTGAATCATGAAGAACTGGAAAATCTAAATAGACCAATCAATCAACAGTAAGGAAATTGAATCAGTGATCAGAAACCTTCCCAAAAGCCTAAGTCCAGGACCAGATGGCTTTACGAGTGAATTCTACCAAACATTCAAAGAGTATCTAATACTTGTCCTACTCAAACTCTTCCAAAAAATTGAAGAGACATTACTCCCTAACTTATTTTATGAGGCCAACATTACCCTGATACCAAAACCTGGTAAGGATAACACACAAAAAGAAAATTACAGACCAATATCTCTAATGAATACAGATGCAAAAATCCTAAACAAAATTCTAGCAAATCAAATGCAACAATGCACTAAAAAAAGTATACATCATGACCAAGGGGGTTCATCCCTGGGGCACAAGGATGGTTCAACATATGCAAATCGATCAACATGATACACCACATAAACAAAATAAAGGACAAAAATCATATGATTATATCAACAGATGCAGAAAAAGCATTTGACAACATACAACACCCATTTATGATTAAAACACATAATAAAATGGGTATAGAAGGAAAATACCTTAACATAATAAAGACCACATATAACAAACCTTCAGCTAATTTTATAATTAATGGTGAAAAACTGAAGCCCTTTGCTCTATATTCAGGAATACAACAGAACTGTCCCCTATCACCACTGCTTTTCAATATAGTATTCAAAGTCCTAGCCAAAGCAATCAGGCAAGAGAAAGGAATAAAAGGCATCCAAATAGGAAATGAAGAAGTTAAATTGTCACGTTTTGCAGATGAGATGATGCTATATATAGAAAACCTTAAAGACTCCACCACAAAGCTACTAGAAACAATAAACAAATAAAAAAAGAAAAGAAAAACGAAATGCAGTATGGTTTCTCTGGCCACAGGGCCTTTGCATGTGCTGTTTACTCTGCTTGGATTACCTTTTCTCTTCCTGGTTTTTGCCTTATTAACTTCTATTCACATTTCTGAGCTCAGCTCCCATTTGACTTCCTTAGGGAATCCCTGTCCCCTGGACTAGAACAAATTCTCCTATATTTGCTCTTACAGCAACATGTACCTTTCTTTCATGTCACTTAAAACAGTTGTCATTATACATTTCCTTCAGTGGTTATTTGATTTCTGAGTTCTCCACTGGATATAAATTCTGTTATATGTTCAGGGTCTAGCACAAGACCTGGCTTACAGTAGGTTCTTGTTGAGGACTAGGATTATTTAAATAAAACAGTAAAGAACATTCATAACTAGTTCCTATGTATGGATTAGACATCGAGGATATACTTGGCTTGTGCTTCACAAAATAATGTATCCTGAATTGGTGACTTAAAATGATGAGCTTTCATTATTAAATATTCTCTGTGAAAAAAAAAAAATTCCGCACCCAATCTTCCATCTGCACACATGGGCCTGTGCATATGCACACGTACATATATTCTTCCACCATGCTAAGTTCTCACAGTAAGTATTATTTGGTAGTACTTGTTGGAAAACAGAAATTTCTTCCTCACCGAATGAAGTTATAGACACTTAAACCATACTTAAATATTACATATGAACATGGGTGCTCAGCGCTTAATTTTTTTAAAACATTAGAGAAAAATACTTATTGAAAAGGGTGAATTTTTCAATGATTTTAAAACACTGCTAAATTTGAAGTTGGAATTCACTGTTCTTGTCTACAATCTAAAGAAAAACGTCAATAATACCTTTTGAGCCGACAATATATACGCATTATTTTAAGACAGCAGTACGCATACTGCTGAAATAGAATATATGAAGTTGCCTAAATAGTTATGTCCACTCCTAAAATGTGTTAAAGTCAGAACTAGTGAGACATGAAAGCACACTGCGTCTGACAAATAATCTCTGGTAAATTGTGGCAGAAAGTGCACTGGCCAGCATACCGAGGTGGGTCATGCCTGGTATTTTTTAATGTCTCTGCAACAGTGCTGGAGTACTTGGTTCCTCTGTAGCCCTTTTTAGTTTCTCATAGCAGCATGGTGTGCAAGGAAGTACAGAGAGCCAGTACTAGAAAATGGGTAACACCGATATGGCAGCCCATCAAAAAGATGAAAAGTACTCACTTATCATTCAGCAAACAAATACCAGAAAGCAGAAACTCTGTTATAATTTCACTTAATTCTCTTTGTTACGGTACATCTGACAATATACTCAAAATGGTAAGGTCTGGATACCTCAGAGTAGAATTCCAGATAGTCAATTCACTAATAAACGCATTCCTGAAGGAATACTACCATTCATCTGCAATATAACATGTCTGAAATTGGAAATAAAATTATAATAAAAGAGGCAAATGTGTCCCTTATTTACAACAAGAGGTTCTGATCTGGAGCATAGACAGGAAATCTGAGTTCAAAAGATACCATACTCGGGGACTAGTGCTACCTGGGACACTCACAGAAACAAAGCACAGGCCAAATTTTCATACACCGCTTCTCTTATTATTATCTCTGGTTGTAGGGAAGGCTTGCAGCATTCAAACCATGTTTGAATGAACATTTAAGAGTAAGAAAGCAGCCTTACGAGGCTGTGATGGGGGGAGGGGACTTACCACATCCCTGTGTTCTCCTTCCTTAGGGGTGAGGACAACTGAGAGCAAAATGATTCCAAGGTCATGGTCAGGATAATGGGGATCTTTCAATGGCAGAGTCACATCCGTGGGCCTGCGATATAAAATATTATGATTTTTAACAGTAATTCCAAGAGTAAGCCAAAATATAATTGATATCAACAATTTTGTCTTTCTTTACATTCCTGCTACAATTTTTGTTATTAAAATATTGTGAATGCATTAAATTATCCAATAAGCTGTGGACCAAATGGGTATGCTTGGATTCACTACATAAGTTTTAGTTCTTCATGAGATAAGAAAGGCCATGGAGTTGCTGGAAAGGCCAAGAAATTACAACAGTACTGAGAAAACTACAAGTCCCTTCTCTAGGATTTCCTTTTTTAAAATTTATTTTCATTAAATTCATTGGACTAACGTTGGTTAGTAAAATTATATAGGTTTCAAGTGTACAATTCTATAATACATCATCTATATATTGCATTCTCCACCCAGAATCAGTTCTCCTTCCATCACCATATATTTGACCCCATTTACCCTCGTCTACCACTCCCCTCCCCCTTACCCTCTGGTAACCACTAAACTGTTGTCTGTCTATGAGTTTTTGTTTCTTTGTTCGTTTGTCTTGTTTGCTTGTTGCTTTCAGTTTTATATCCCACATTTGAGTAAAGTCATATTGTCCTCAACTTTCTGACTTATTTTGCTTAACATGATAATCTCAAGATCCATCCATGTTGTCATAATGATAGTATTTCATCTCTTCTTATAGCTGAATAATATTCCATTGTATATATATATATATATATGTACCATATCTTGTTTATCCAATCACCTATCGAAAGACACACAGAAATAATGCCAGCTATATTCTATAAATTTGAGTCCAACAACTAAGAAGGGCCTCTTACTGACCCCCATCTTCCTTTTAGTTCTTTAGGACTTTTAAAAAAAAATCAGGAGTATGATATAAAGTAAAGAGTGGGGAAAAGAGGAAAATAAAAAATATAATTTGCTTATATATGTTATAGACATACTTTAAAAACAATGTATAATTATTTAAAAGACATTCCAATATTCAAAACAATTTTTTGGTTGTTTAAACCTAGGCCTGAACAATTTTTAGATTCAGAAACACAAGCAAATCAATACATAGAAGAGTTGATCAATACTTGGAAGACTTTAGAATTAGATAAGCAGCTCTGAGGAAAAGATTATGAGTTTCTCAATATTACCTACAATCACTTTTAGAAAATAAGCAAAATACACATTCAACTGACAATGCACAGGTGATATATTTTTTCCATATTTTAATTAATATTGAACAAATAGGGGTCTGTGCCCTCCATAAACCTAAGGGACTATGAAAAGTTTGGCACTAAACTTGAATTATGAAATGTTTTATCCTTAGGTAAAGTCTCTGCTTAGCTTTAGGTTGCAATAAGGGACATGTAGGAAGTACAGAAAAGGTTTTTGTCCAGTTGAGGCCAAAATGTCCACTGGAAGACCAATAAGCTGTTACTTAGCTGACTATTACACACAAGGAGGTTCTACTATTTACATTTCTCTACTCATCTACTTTATGGAAATACAGAGTAGTGATCTGGCCCATTACTCTGCTTTCTTGCTTTCCATTATTCCTGTCACTTGATGAAGCCTGATCATCTACAAGTAAAACAGACAGGAATTCCTTCTTAAAACCATCAAAGATTTCACAGCTTCCTTTGCAACCTATTCCAGCACTGCTTGACTCTTTTTAAACCATTTTTGTCTTCTGTAGTATTAATCTCTTATAGTATTGAAATGCATTTTAAAAAAAGTTTAAATAGACTAATTTTTACAGCAGTTGTAGGTTCACAGAAAGTTGAGTGGTAAGTAATGAGGGTCCCCATATGATCCTCATCCCCCTACACACGCACATCCTCCTCTATCAACATCCCACACCAGAGTGGTGCATTTGTTACAATCAATGAACCTACACTAAACTCCAATTCTCCAATTGTTAACATTTTACCTTTAGCGTTCTCTCTTCTCTGTTGCTTCTTCTCTTTCTATACGTACATATCTATATCTATATCTGCATCTATATGTTCAAGCTAAAAAGACCTTGGAAAAGCAGTCAGACTGATTTAAACTGCTTCATCTACCATGCTTCAAGCCATTGTCCTATGGTAGCTTCTTGAATTTATCAAAGAAGCTTTGCTGATTCCAGATTATTGTAATAACAGCATGATTTATGATCATTTAGAAACTGAATTAGTGAATACTAGGAGCCATTTCATATTGTTTAAAAATAATCCATACTAGATCCACGGTGTTTCCTTGGAAAAGTTGCTCTTGATTTTGAAAATGTTTATTTTCAGATATAGCTCCCTCCACCCCCCATTCACCTTGTTACTGGCTCTGTCCCTCTTGGAGAGAATATTGTATCTGCTTTCTCACAGGGTGACCTGCCACTAGTCATTCTAGTTTTCAGTCCATCTTCAAAACCAGAATAATTTTTCTAAAATGAATGTCTAACCAGTAAGGAGGAACTGACATTAGTGATTGCTTCTAAAGATTTAAAAGTATTATCCAAAAATAATTTATTAGTTTCTACAGTAAAAACTTTTATTTGAGGAGCTTATGTAAGTCAGCAGTGTGCTGTATTGTTAAGTCTTGGTTGTATTTAGATAATTATAAGCTGTATCAAGAGAACTGTATTGGTTAGAATGGGATATTTACACTGTGTTGGTCATACACACAGTGTGATATGATATACAGATGATGTATTGCAAAATTGTACACTTGAAACCTATGTAATTTTGCTAACCATTGTCACCTCAATAAATATAATAAAAAATAAAAAATAAGCTAATGACTGATATTTCTTTCTTTAATATATATTTTTTATTTTTCAATCACAGCTAACATACAACACTACACTACTTTCAGGTGTACAACATAGTGATCAAGCATCCACACAATTCATGAAGTGATCACCCCGACAAATCCAGCACCCATTTGACACCACGCACAACCATCATGACACTACTGACTATATTCCCTGTACTATATAGGTCCATCCATGTTTTGCAGGTAGCAAGATTTCATTCTTTTCTATGGCTGAGTAATAGTACATTGTATATATGTACCACCTCTTCTTCATCCATTCATCATTCAGGGGCACCCAAGTTGCCTCTATGTCGTGGCTATTGTAAATAATGCTGCAGTGAGCATGTAGATGCATATGTGTTTTCAAATTAGTGTTTTGGATTTCTTATGATAAATACCAGAAGTGGAATTGATGGGTCCTTTTTTGTCTCCTGTTATAGCCTTTGTTTTAAAGTCTGTTTTGTCTGGTGTAAGTATTGTTCCCCAGCTTCTTTTTTTTCCATTCTATTTTCATGAAATATCTTTTTTCATCCCTTTACTTTCAGTCTCTGTGTTTTTTGATCTGAATGAAATGCATTTTTAAAAATGTAAGCCCATAATTAGGTGCAAAAAATGATTGTTAGTAATAATAATATAACTTTACAACTAATCAAGCAATGGTGAATTAATATAACTGAGCAAATATAACTAATCTGCCTCCAATTTAGAGGCATTCCTTGGTAACCTAAGATCACTAGTGATGGCAAAACTAGATTCTACTTAGGCTTGGGTGATAACTGAGTTGCTGGTTTTGGAGCACAGTGCACATACTGTATTTCCAATTTGGTAGTATAATTCTTAAATTAATAATTATGACTAACAGACATAATTTTCTTTATGCCCCACTGCAACCATACAAGCAATGTGATAGCAACAAATGTGTCTTTTATTTCTAAGTTCCTGGTGCTTAGCAATGTGTTGGGGGACAGAGCAGGCACCCAAGAATTTTTCTGTTGAACAGCTGTTGTCCAATGAGATAGTCAGGGAAGATGCTATTATTTCCATTGGGTAGATGAGAAAGAGGTATTTCAGGAAGCCTGGATAGCATGAAGACTCACAACCACACATGACAGAACAGCAACTAGAACACAGATGGGTTGATGTTTTCTATTTTACTGACCCAGCTTTATAACAAGGTATAGTGATATTACAATAATTCAAAACCTACTTGTTTAACTCCAACTGTGTGAGATCCAGAAAGGCTGAGCCCATAAAGTCATCCTGTAGTCCAAAATCATAGTCAAATACCTAAGAAGCCAAAAAGATGACATTATCATAAACAATTCCAAAATAAGCTTTAAATGAAAATGCCTTTATTACAAAATATAATCATTCCAAAACAATGAAATTTCTGTTGAATAGTTGTCTGTTGATTTTTTTGTTGTTGTTTTAGGATTTAAAATCTGTTTTTGTGTAATACTAGGGTCTCACAAAACACTCAAAGGAAATTATGTTTAATTTTCTCCTTAAAATTAATTATTTATACCAAACAGAACTTAAAAAAGATGAATTTTTAAAGAACTTAAAAAAATCAAACAAAATACAGTAAATCATAAAAAATGTGGGAAACACAGGCTCAGAATAGTTTCCACCTATTATAGAAGGGCCATTAACATTACTGGGGGGCAAAGTGAGTTTTTATAGAATTCAACAAATACGTTTCCCACACAGGGCTATACGGTGATGAGAATATGATTCCAATTTATTCATGTTTCTCAGGTCATTGAAAACAAATTTTATAATATTATAGAACAATGTGTTGAAACCTATAAATAAGTGAAATTTGAGATATTATGATAAAGGTACTTTGTAAAGTTATATTAAGGTTAAATTTTTATTGTTATAAACTATGATTTGGGAATAATATTAATGTGAGTAACAACAATGACACAGAAAGAAGAAAAAAAGAAAAGCAAAGAAAAGAAAGGAAATAATGCATTTCCTCTTTGTATCAAAGCAGTGTATCCAGTATCTTCTCCGTGCCCTTCACGGTTCTTATTCATACTACAGTGAATAAGATAGATAATGTCCCTGACCTCTTGGACCCTACATTTAGGAACTGAGAGAGTCAATAAACAAACGGATGCATACAGTTCAGTGATGAGAGTTATGGAGACTAAAGTATAAGAGGGCATGTTGGGAGCTACTATTTCAGGTAGGGAGTCCTATCTCCAAGGAAGTATGTTTGTACAGAGACCTCAGTGATGAGAAGCATTAAGCCATGTTAGTATAGAAAGAGCACTCCAATTTAGAGTTTGCAGCCAGCAATTAGCCTGTTCAGGGATCATCAAGGAGCCAGTGTGGTTGAAGAAGATTGAGAAAGATGGAGAGGTGGAGAAGGAAAGTTGGAAGAAGGTTGGAGAAATAGCTCAGAGCTAGATCAGTTAGGGCCATTTCTTAAAACAAAACAAAACAAAAACCCAACTCTAAGTACATGAAAGTCAGCTAACTTGCATCCATTTATTAATTTTCTTATTCATTCCTTCAGCCAATATTGACTAAGTACTTACCATGTGCCAGACAATGTGCTAGGCATTATGAGTACACAGTGGTGAGCAAAAATGACATTGTCAATGTCTACAGTATAGTGAGGTAGGCAGATGTTAAACAAGGAAATGCATAGATGATATGTAATTACACATTTTAATAAGTTTTGTAAAGAAAAGAACTGGGTCTGCAAAGAAAAAAATAATAGTGGAGATCAGAGAAAGCATTTATGATAGAAAAAAATGCTACTAGCTGAAGTTTAGAGCTGTGTTTCTTGATCTTTTCCAATAGGAAATCTTTGTATTGCACATTGGAGTAAATAAGCATAAACAGGTTAGGCTGCTCTTGAATGAACAAGCCAAGCCACTGACTCTCCAGGATGTGTGAGTCCATCAGGCTGAGAGAATCCATAGCCAGGAACTCCTTCACTCAATTCTTGGCACAACAATTAGAAAGCTTGAAGCAGAGGGAACAGTATGTACAGCAGCCCTGAATCAGTTACTGTTTTTCCTCTAATACAGATGTACTTCAATTTAAACAAACTTTACATGCAAAAAATCAATATTAAAACAAAAAGATAAGTACTTTGCATTACAAAGGGATTCTTAACTTTGAGGAGCCACAAAGGGATTTATTTAAGTAATAAGTTCCCCTAATGCCTTTTAAATTATTCAGTTTACAGTCATTTGATTTACATACAACCTTTCAGGAGTACATTTGTTGTAGAAAGTGCAGCACTCTTGCAATAAATATTCTCCTTGATCAATGACACTTCTGAGCTTTAGTCATCCACTCAGCGACATATCACATAAACATACTGCACATTTTATGTAACTGACACCTCAGTATTTCCAAGTGCCTGCAGTAGTGTATTTTGCAACAGAAAATTTATACCAAAAATTAGAGAAATTTCTCTTGTGCAATCTCTTCTAATTGTATTACCCCAAGTCTTAAAATTCTTGGGCAGACTATAGTGACATTTAATCAATGAGAACACCTGGGGTACATCCATACATGTGGAGTGGACAGCTGTGAACCCAGTGAATTGATTAATGTAGACAACCCAACTGAGTGATTCAACATTGAAACTGTCTCTACTCTCATAACAAGAGTCTTCCCTACTGTCCCAATGCTGATGTTTATTTTAGTTCTCAATTCCTATTGAACAGCAAAGATAAACATGAGCAAGAATGGGAATATCAAAATCTATTCTTTAATGGAATTATTTGCTATGCTACTTGATTCCAAGCTTTATAAACTATTTGCCAGAGGGAACATTGCTCTAAGTAGAGCTTCAGTAACATAGAGCATAGAAAAGAGATAAAAAAAAAGGTAATTCCCACTGCAAGCACAGTTAACACTGATTATTGTTTATTCTATGTTTACTATACATTAGGTGCAGGGTTAAATACATTACATAGAGTTTTATTTTTATTTTTTTATTTTTTTATTGGGGAATTGGGGGATGGGAACAGTGCTGGGGAATTGGGGGAAAGGGGACAGACAAGTTGCTGTCGTTTTGTTCTTCAGTCTAGTTGTGGAGGATGTTGCTTCACTGGCCCAAGTTGGCACCATCATTGCGCTCTTCCCGGGTGAGGCAGATCAGTCACCAGTCGCCGGCTTCTGGACGGCCGCTCACTGCGGCTGCTGGCCGCTCACGCTGGCTGCTGGCTACACATGGTAGCCCATGGCAACTCACTGCCACAGGGGCTGCAGCCCACGCCGTCGCCGGCGACTCACAGCAGCCCAGCTCCAGGTTGAGCCGTTGTTCAGCATCTTAGCTGTAGAGGGCAGTGTCACTGGCCCTCATATGTGGGATCCGAACCGGGGCCCTCTGGCATCCCAAGCGAGTTCTTAACCATCGCGCCACTCGGCTGGCCCAGAGTTTTAAATTTAATTCTTACACAACTCAGTAAGCAAGGTATTGTTTCCACTTTTGAGATAAGTAGTCCAAAATTTAAAAAGTTTATGTTACTTGCCCCTAAATCCCAGATTATAAGAGATTCATGTATTTAGGAAGTGTTTTTGAACTATGCAAGAAAAAACGTGTAAGATAATACTAACTTTGGAATAATTTTTGAGGGGTGCTCTATGGTTTATGGCTGTAAACATATTTCCATTCCAACTCTTCAGTTGTTTCCATTTAAATGTTTAGAAAAGTGACTTTCTACTTACACAGTGCATCAGAAGAAACTACTGTGTTTTGAAAACACAGAACTGTGGACTCTGCCTCAGAGGTCCTGAATCAGAATCTTTAAGGGAGATATTTGGAAATTTTGATTCTTTTAAACTTTCTGGATAATTCTGATGTACAGCCAGGGTTGAGGATCACTGGTACAAGACATTCTCTTAGGGCCCTTAAAACCTACCAAGGAATGATTTTAGATAGGACAGTAATGTGGTCTTTAACTTGAACCAAACTTAAAGTACCTTGCAAATTTTACATCTTAAGCCAGTAACATGGCCCCTAACTGAAGTGTTTTCCCAGTTATCAAAATATTTCTATTATTTAGAAGAGTACTCCAATTTAATAGCCAGATTTCTAGCTCCTGAGTAGGCCAAACAAGCAACAATTTACACAAACATTTCCCCTTTATATTACTTCCATCTCTTCCACTGTAACTCTGGGAGTTCACTGTGTACCTCGGATAACAGTATCAGTGAAATGACAATGGAGCATTTCAATTCAGCTTAGTGGAAATGGATGCTGGCTTTATCTGATTATTTAAGATGTGTGCCGGGGCATCACTGAGGATACAGAACGAGCTCCAGTGGTTCCTGTCACAGTTAAAAGTACTGCATTTTAATTTCCCCCTTCTACTGCTACCTTATTATCAATATTTTTTCAAGCCCATTCCTCCAGACAAGTTTTCACCTCCTGCCCTTACTGTGAAGTCATTTAGAATTGAAGGAATATTCTTTCATTAAAATTAAAAGCTATATAAATTCCAACCAATTGGAAAGTGTATTCATATTTATTTTGTATAGAGTATTTAAAAATGACAGTTACAGGTTTTTTTAAAAAGAAAAAAACCTGTTTTTACTAGAAATGGTACAAGCGCTGCCACTTTAATGTGATTTTATAAACTTGGCTCAGAACTGAGTTGTGTTTCCCTCGGTAAACTTGATACTGATAGAAGTCAGATAACAAGGTATACGTGGACCTCTTTTTCCTTTAACTAGAAATTGGGAGGTAGTACACTTAATATTCTTTAACCATATACTTCATTGATACATTTTCATATTATGTTTCACTAAGAAATCTTTCAGGCAAGATAATGGAAAATGTGGGCATTATATTAAAATCAAGTCAGTCAATCACACAGGGTTGTGTAGAGACAATGAAAAAGATGCAATTTTCATAAAATCCTGGCAACTTAAAATATAACTTCTACCATTGTATTTTATTTAGGTATGCATGTGTCCAAAGTTAGGCAAAAAGCAGGTAACACAAAAAAATGGAAAAGTTATGCTAAAATTAGAGATTTTTCTCAAAAAGAAGTCCTATGCAATTAACAGAAAATGAAAATCAAAAGAAAAATATCAAAGCATATTAAAAAGTATAAAGTAATACATAAGAATAAAATGTTGTAATTTTGTGCTTGTATTAGTATTTGAGAGACCGGAGTGATTTCTATTTAACTTAATCATTTTTCTTATGTAGAAATGTAAAATAATGACAAATATTTTACAATTCACTGTGTATTTTCTGTATAGTAGAGGTGAGGTTGTGGCTACTTTATTCTGTGCACTGAAAACGCAAAGTGATAAACAAACAAAAACCAACCTTGGATTCTCTCTCCTAGCTTCTTTGCTCATAGTGTGTCATTACCCAAGCCTTTTGGCCTGCACCTAGTTCACCATCTCTCCATTTACTGGATAAGTATATAACAGGAGTGCCAAAAAAAGGTATATACATGACTTGTATTCATATTTTGTTATAGGTATATATTGAGTATTACAATTTTAATACAGTTTTTTCCTTTCTTAAAATGTGTATACATTTTTTTTGGCACCATCTGTGTGTATTTGTTCTTGCTCTCTCAAACCAAAATTTTTTTCCATTATTTTTTCCCTGTGAACTTCATATTTTTGTTTTTAAGCCTATTAAGATATTCCTTTTGAAATATACATTTTGATATTTGGATTTTTACATAGATGAATACTATCCTTAAACACAAGCAAATAGCAAAAGAATGCAGCCAATACCTACTGTAATTTTGGGAAGTTCACTTGTAACCCTAATAAGACTGGTGACCCACATGATTCTGTCACAGAGTAATGTCCCATTAAAGATATAGATCCACAGCAAAAGTAAATAAAAGTAAATCCTTTTCCTTCCCTGATTTTTCTCTTAAGGGACATTAAATGAGATCCAAATAGCCTAGTGCTATCCTTATTAACATCTGCTTTCCTTTCTTACACATTTTCTTCATGACTGCAACTGCTCTAACTTATCTCGTCTAAGCCTCCCTAAAAATAAAAGACACCCCACTTGTCTTTTTCAATTCCTTTTTTCATCCCCTATCTCGGTTCTTTATTATAAAGGTATTTTCTTTTTTCTCATATAAGTATTCCTTTCTCTCTAGAGTGAGGAGCAGGGGAGACACATCTCCGACCATGAAGGTCTTCCCTTTGGTGAAAGGAGGGTTGGGTATGAATGCTCTCACATTAATAATCGTTATGCCATCAACATGTTATATATTAAGAGACTGCTCACTAATTCTATTTAATTGATTTCCTTTAGCCAGTGTCCACCTGAGACTATTCCTTAGGTAAATATGGGTCTATTCTTCCCATAACAAACTCTAGAAACTTATCAACACTATACTTAGGAAATTCTCTTTTCATCAACCAAATAAACTATCATGCTATGATTTTAATAAAATCTTAGCTACTTTTTCCTTTCTGTAGAGCAGAAAAACAACTGGAAGCAATATGAATAAAGAGTTGAGGAGAAGGGGAATGCCCAGAGATTGTTGAAAGAGTAATATCAGATTTGGGGCTCATGTGCCAGTTTCGACAATTCAGAGGAAAGGACGGGGTGTGTGATGTTGTAGTAAAAGTAGAAAAAATGTTTAGTCACTGACTGGGTAGTCAGAACATAGTAGCTAAAAATAATTCATGTACTCGGAGATATGAATTAAAGGGAAGTCAGGTATGAAAAAAAAGCCAAAAACTAAAAAACAAGGAATTAGGGTGGTAACTCCTTAAATTATTTTTCTTCTTAAAAAAACAAAACAAACAAAAAAAAAACTACATCAAATGAGAGGAAAGACTCTTTTTTTTTCATCTTTGGTAGTATAGTAGAGACAGGACTATTTTCCCCATTATCTTTACCCCTCTTGTTTTCCAAGTAAAGCATTTTCTTTGCAGTTAGGACTGGTAAATCCCAGGATATAATTCTTAAATAGGAAGACTGGGTTCTGTGTAAGCTTTCCATCTTGACAGGTTATATGGAGACTTGTTTTTGTATGTTCCCAAAGTGCACTGAATCAGTTAACGGCACAGAGCAGGAGGTGATGGACTTCATAATCCTTCTAAATGACTAGTAACAGGGCTGTCCTGAAGAAACATGCTCCTACTAGCCCCCCTCTTCCTCTATATCATTTGTTATCACATCGAAGATTAGAATTGTGCATAGCAGAATATGTCTCTGGTGAAAATCTTGTCAGACAGAGAGGCATAATAAAACAACACTAAACACTGATTTTTTTATGTTAGATTGCATTAGGGAAAAACAAAACAAACAAACAAAAAAATGGCTTACCTTTACATACAGTGGCTCTCTAAGATGATCAACAAGAATGCAAGCTTTTTCCTCCCACACAGGATTGAGGTTCTTATATATTATTTTACTTCTAAAAACTTCTTTCCTTCCAATTTTAAACTTCACGTATGGATCACTTGTACCTGTTAAAGAGATACAGGTTGACCTGTGTTAATCATGCCTTTCTGTGGAAGCAAAAGAACAGCTCATCTAAACACCACAAAATATTTCAAGGAATAAAAGTTAAAGCTTATCACATGAGAAAATAATGAATAAGTGTTTTTTCAAACTTTTTCCTTATATTTTGAAATGACAGTAAATTTTCTTCTTCTTCTCCTCCTCCTCCTCCTCCTCCTCCTCCTCTTCTTCTTCTTCTTCATTACTATTATTTACTTAACACTGTTACCCTGTCCTGGTATTTATAAAACTCTATTACATGCTGCATATTTAAATGTAATTCATATAAATGATAGAGATTAATCTGAGTTTCTCTTGGTATCATCTGCTCAACTATAAAAAAAAGCTGATCCATAATCTTGGCTGATTTAACCAGTTTTAGGTATACATGAAGTTAAAATTTTATACTAATTTTATGCTAGTCTAATGGGCTTAGAAAAGGTGAGTCTCAAATTGAGCTTCAATTTCACTCTTGGTCCCATATTCTCTTGCTCAGAAGTTTCAATTTTAAAATGTTAGGAAGGTATGAAGGTCTCCAAGGAATGCACCAGGAAGAAGGGGATGTTTATTAAACAATCTGGATACTTCATATTAGCCCTTAACACCTCCCAAGCCCCCAAAGATGATAAAGAAAATCAGTCAAGTAAGCTGCTCATGAACACACAGCTAGCAAGAGATGGAGTTAGGATTCCTACAGAGGTTGTTTGACTCCTATGCCTATGCTGTTTCTACTACACTCGCAAGAGGGAAGGCCTTTACATACTTACATGTATATTATACTATTTCTCATTTTGACTGATGAATGAGTCCATTCTTGATTTAATGAGCCTATGCTGTAATTAAGAATTCCTAGAAAAGGTGTATCGGTGACATCCCCAAGTAAATCATTCCAGTGTATGACAACGTTCACCCTCAGGAAATAATTCTTCATGTAAGGTCCAACTCCCTTATAATAAAATTTTGTTTATTTTTTTCTGTTTTGTCCAAACTGAAGCTATAGTTGGTAACTGTGGTCTATATGATTTAAAAAAGAATATGAGTGGGACTCTGAAAATTTAAAGTACCATATGAATGTTAGGCATTATAATTATGATGCTGAACTCTATAAACTCACTGTCTATAATCCCTCTTCAAGCTCTACTCACCTCAATGACAAATAATTATCTATGCTAAATATAAGGATTGACTTATAGGATTTGGCTTTTCTTATTTAATCACTGGGGGGTTCTCTCAAAACTCTCCATACTTCCCAAAGAAATACCTTGTTTTTTGGTAAGTTTAAACATGAGTATAATAAAATAATGATCCCAATTTTTCATTGTGAAAATCCCATTTGGACAATTTCATTTTATAATAATGATACAAACTTTAAAAAATATTTATAAATGTAAATGCAGGCTATTGCATGGTAACCTGCTACATTATGCATTCTTTTTTTTTTTAAAGATTTTTATTGGGGAATTGGGGGATGGGAACAGTGCTGGGGAATTGGGGGAAGGGGAACAGACAAGTTGCTGTCGTTTTGTTCTTCAGTCTAGTTGTGGAGGATGTTGCTTCACTGGCCCAAGTTGGCACCATCATTGCGCTCTTCCTGGGCAAGGCAGATCAGTCGCTGGCCTCTGGACGGCCACTCACAGCGGCTGCTGGCCACTCACGCTGGCTGCTGGCTACACATGGTAGCCCATGGCAACCCACTGCAGCAGGGGCTGCAGCCTACGCCGTCACCAGTAACTCACGGCAGCCCAGCTCCAGGTTGAGCTGTTGTTCAGCATCTTAGCTGTGGAGGGCAGTGTCACTGGTCCTCATATGTGGGATCCGAACCGGGGCCCTCTGGCGTCCCAAGCCAGCTCTCAACCAACGTGCCACTTGGCCGGCCCAATTATTATTATTATGCATTCTTTAGGGGACTCAGTGCAACCAAAATGTTTAATCATTAAAATGGCTATTTTTAACACAGCGGTTCCCAACTAGAGCTGAGGACCCTGGGGATTCAGTGTTACAGCACATATATGAGGGATATTAAAAGCCATGTACCCGTTTGTATTTTCCCAGTCATGCCCCAGATCAAATTATTGCCTTTGATTTATGAAAATACAACTATATATGTAACTACTACTACCATCTGCTAAACCATAATAAGCTCCATAATAAGCCATTTTGGTCACTGCTTTTAAATTCAGCACTTAGTACAGAATCAGACATTTTTTTGTCTTCAGTAAACATTTGGTGAGTGACTGCAGGACTTAATGACTTAATGGTGGAGATGGTAGACCTCTCTTCCTGCTAACTTGTATGGTCTCCACTTGGATATCCACTAGACATCCCAATTTTAACATATCTAAAACTTAAGTCTTGATCCTCTCTCCTGCTAAGCCTGCTTCTCCTGCAAGGTTTGTCAGGCCAGTTAATGGCTTCATTATGTAACTGTTGCTCAAGCAAGACACCTGGAAATTATTCTTGATTATGTCCTTCGCCATTCTGTGCACCACCAAGTCCAATTAATTTTCCTCTAAAACACCCCTTGGATTTTATCTTCTCTGTCTCACTCTGATTAAGCCACCATGATTCCTCTGCTCTCCTACTATAACAATATCCTCCTACCTGGACTCTCTACATCTTCTGTGTTCCCCTCCATTAATTCTCTATCAAGCAGCCAGACTATCTATCTATCTATGTATCTATCTATCTATGTATCTATCTATCTATCTATCTATCTATCTATCTATCTTTTTATTAGATTTATTGGGTGATAGTGGTTAATAAGATTATATAAGTATCAGATGTATAATTCTATAATACATCATGTGTATATTGCATTGTGTGTTCACCACCCAAAGTTTAGTCTCCTTTTGTCACCATATATTTGACACCCTTTACCCTTTTCAACTTCCCCCCACCCTTCTTCCCCTCTGGTCACCACCATACTGTTGGCTGTGTTAATGAGTTTTTTCTTTGCTTATTTGTTTTGTTTGTTCTTTTGTTGCTTTCTGTTTTATATTCCACATATGAGTGAAATCATATGGTTGTCCCTTTCCCAGACTGGCCTCTTAAAAAAGCAAATTCAATCTTCCCCCTTCTTTGTGTAACACTTCTCAACAGCTGTCAACTATACCTACAACAAAATCCAAAATATGTTACTTGGTCCATAGGACTTGCCATTTCCCCAACTTCAATTGTGGGCCCTTACTATGTTCCAGCTCTCTTGTTACTGAAGTGATTTCCTGCTTCCAGGCCTTGCATATTCTAGCTAGCCTCTCTGCTTGAAAAGTCCCTTTCTCCCATTTCTCTTTTCCTGTTGCCTGGCTGACACTTCATTACCCTCCAGGTCCCACTTTAAACACAATTTGCAGGGATGCCTTTCGCAGCCTCCCAGATGGAATTAGATATCCTTGTAATTTTCTCCTAGCATTTACTTTGTATTCAGTTGCCTATAGGTTAGGTTGTACATCTACCTGTTGATTGTGTGAATTTTCTCACTGGCTATGAGTCCCATTAGGGCCACTAGCCCTGCCCAAGGACATGGCACACAATAAGTATTTGTTAAATGGATGAGTAAATGAATGACTATAGAGTTTACAGTGTATGGAGTATTATTAAATACATCCTCAGAAGACTCTGTGAAGTGGGTGAAAGCAAGTGTCATCAATCTATATTGCAGGTGAGAAACAATTGGAGATTCAATGTGACTTGCTCCAAATCACAAGTAAGCTAGAAAAAAATAGTATGGAAGGCAAATATAGACTTTCAGAATCCAAATGCAATGCTCCTTCTACTCAGCTTTTTTAGGAAACCTGAACAGATCCATATTTTCCTTCTTTTGCTCTAAAACACCATCATAGAATTATTATGTAAAGGTGTTGAATAATCATTGAGATACTATAAATAATACTAATATTGACAAGTAACTTATTCTGGTCTATAAAACTCTCACACTTATTATTTGTTTAATCACCCTATGTCTCTGTGAGTCTACTATTGTCTCCAGACTACAGATGAGAGGACTCAGAAAGGTTCAGTGGCTTGCCCAGGTCAGACTAGAACTCAAATCTGGAAATCAGTCTAGTTAGTGTCTTTTGGGAGGGAGAGGGGGGGTTGCTGGGGCGGGGTCACGCATCATCACAAAACATTTACCATTTCAGAGTGTAACAATCCTCTATTTCTTTGGTTTAAAAAATGTATGAATAATGCTTTTACATGAAAAGTGATGTCAAGAAATGTGACTTTGTGTTTCTAAACAGTTATTGATATTAGTATTGCATTCTATTTTGTTTGACTGTTATGTAAATACACTGACATAACTTTTAGCAATTTAGCACAGAAAGCTATACACTCAAAAGTAAATTTTTTTGAGACAGAATCTGTTTCTTGCTCCCTCCCAGAAACATTTCCCTAACCACTGTATAGTTTAACTGTCAAAATCCCATTAGAGTTTGGTACGACTGGCTCTTAGAATCCCTCTGGCTGGTCAGCTAGGTATTGATGGAAGAACTTAAGTTACAAAAGGGAGCCTAGATCACTCTCACATTTGACATTCATTGAACACTTTCTATATCAGATGCACCATGCCACCTAACAAGCGCATGAATGAGTTCTAGTGTTACTGTGAGTTGACAGTTGAGCAAGTAAGTAAATTCCTCAAAGTCAGAGTTAGGATGCTGAGACTTGAACTTAATTGCTACACTAGCCCACCTCCAAGAACACTTTTCATGACTGCTGTTATATCCAAGATGACATTTGAGGCTGTAAATACCCAATGGCCTGAATAAATAACAATCCAGCTAATAAGAGTAGGTCTAAGGGTTAAGTTAGAGATTAGGGACAGATTTTTGAGTCTATGACAGGCAAAAAAGATCTCAGAAATTGCTATGAGAGAGTGAAGCTGTTTTTAGGGACTCTGAAAACACATGATGACAATAAAATATTTTATAAACATGTGGCTTTGGCCACAGGATGACCTGGAGTAGATATGGTAAATATGTTAGCAAATTTCATAGTCATAAGTACAGAAAAAACAGATCCATGTGCACACTAATAGTGAGTCAGTCATTGACTTGCCTCACTTTGTTTCAAATTTGCTACATTTCTCTCTTTGCAACCATCACTTAGAGCCCTCTGTGTGCTACTATTAAAATTTAATAATTTTTAATAGTCCAGCTTCTTTAAGGGATTTCTAATTGTTTTCAAGTTCTTAATTTAGGAGACCTTTAGTGACTTGGAGTCCTTAGCAGTTCAAGACCTTCAACTTGTGATTCCAACTTAGGGAACTGGAGACATTGTTTTAATTTAGGGTCAGTAAAAGATTGGTATCTAATTCTCTAATCCACTATGCTTGACAGTGTTTGTCCAAATTTATTTCATCAAGGTATTATCTGGTGGTATTAACAGATATTATTTGCTTTTTAAAAAATGAGTCCTGAGGTCAAGCATATTTGGAAAATTCTGGTTTAGAACAAAATTAAATAGATTCATTTTCTATAGGCTTTAAATAAGTGAATGACTTGAAGAAAGGGATATGACATGTGGCATTTACCAGGCTTTTTTTTTTTTTTACCATGGGGTCTACTTTGCTTTCAATATTCATAATCCCTGATCTCTCTATGGGAAATTTTATCTTATTATATTTCACAGATAAGAAAGTTACGCATGATTTAGAGGTTCTTTTATTATAATAGATTTTCTGGTGAAATGAAGAAATTTTTTTATAATAAAACCCCAATAAATCAAAGCCACTAATAAAGGGGTTAATCTTTAAAGAATATATTACACAAAATAAATGTAGTTTGTTGGTTCAAAAATTCAAAAAATTAATAAATTCACGTGCCAGTGCTGTTTGTTGCAATATTACACTTAACCACAAGATGGCACTAACACTTATCAAATTATTGCATGGCCTGTGGTTCTGCTATTCCAAGTTAAGGTATTTCTACTGCACACATGTGGCTTTCAGGCATTTTCTGGTGCTTTGTTGTTATTAGCTGAACTATAACCCTCATTAAAACGTTTCTCATGGTGGTAATGAAATGAAAACACGACAAATAAATATGGGAGAAGAAAGTAGAAAGTGTTAGCCCTAAATTAAAATTCAGACTTTGTTATTAATATCATATTCAAGACCAACCTTTCAACATTCATTTTATCAGGTAGTATTAACTTCAAAATTTATTTTTAAACACTATTATAATCAACAATTAACTTATATCAATTATATATTAATATATAATTGTGAATCCTATGCTTAAAAAATTCTAGAGTATTCTATACCTAGGAACTATTCATTGTCTATTTCTGTACCCTAAGATCAAATGGTTTAAAAAAGTAGAATTAGATGGTTTGTATAATGTTCTGTCATATAGTAAAGGATAAAATGCCTATGTCATTCATATATATATATATATATATATATGAGGACACTTATATATCTATCTAACCTATCTCAGGACACTTCAACATTTTACATGACAATTTAGCCTTTAATATAACTTAAGTCCAACATAGAACTAAACTAAACTTTGTCTGAATGGGTCTCATTTTGTGCAGCAATAAACACAGCGAACACAAGATGGCAGCATCTCTTCCTTTAAAAAAGCATTAAAGATATTTAAAATGTAAATAGCCATCTAAGACTGAGTCTCTTGGTGTTCATTCTCAGAATAAATAAGCCTCCTGGTTAAAACGTTTAAATTAATCATATTCCAAACCTAGTATGTAATAAAACGGAAACAGCTACTCCTATTTCGGAGACCTATAATTATTCAATAATGTTAACTCCTAATCAAAAACAATGCCAAATTGAAACGCGGTCTCCACGAAGGAGAAGAAGAAGAAAGAGAAGGTGGATGTACAGATGTTGATGTGAACAAACTGACTCCATTTCTGTAAGCCCCCCACTATCTCTTTCCTTGCTTTAACTTGGACTGGCCTAGCTGCCCCAGCCAACATTCACAGGCCTTGTAGTTAATGATAAGCTGTGTTCTGTAAGCCCACACGATACAATCATAATGATTCCTGTCAGTAACGTCCAGAAAGGAGTAACAACCGAGATACTTATCACACTGGTACAAGCATCAGTGGCAAGCAATTATCCACCACAAGACCACCAGGAGATACGGTTCCTGGCTTGTATTACATTTTGTCCCTTTGTCTCCTTAATCATTAGCAATTCAACTATACAATAAAACATTTATTGTAATAACTATCTAGCAGAGGAGAATAATCTGCACAGAACTGCCGGGATCATCTGTCTGCTCTGACTCTACATCCCTGTAAGTAAATTACCCTATAATAAATTCCATTATATTCTATGGCGTTGCCTGCTTTCTTTTTGGTCTTAAGACTGCTTTCAAGTCGGGCAGTCACTGACCTCCGCTCCACATTCAGACAAGAGGAGAAGGAAGAGATAGAAGGAAAAAAGAGGACAACAACAACAACAACAAAAGAGAAGTGAATATAAATAGTAATGTGGCCAGTAGAAAATAATTCAAATTTAAGCTCCATCTTCCTGGAGATAGCCATCTTTTTTTACAAATATCTTTATGGCCCAAATGCAACAGAGAAGGTAACTTTGTATAATTAGGTTCTTCACACTTCAAAGAGGCCTATAAACACAGTGATGTTCAAAGCATACTCAGCAACAGA